GGATGAAGTATGTATATATAAAGCAAGTAAGATAATGAAGTATGTATATATAAAGCAAGTAAGAGGATGAAGTATGTATATATAAAGCAAGTAAGATAATGAAGTATGTATATATAAAGCAAGTAAGGTGATGAAGTATGTATATATAAAGCAAGTAAGATGATAAAGTATGTATATATAAAGCAAGTAAGATAATGAAGTATGTATATATAAAGCAAGTAAGATGATAAAGTATGTATATATAAAGCAAGTAAGATAATGAAGTATGTATATACAAAGCAAGTAAGATGATAAAGTATGTATATATAAAGCAAGTAAGATGATAAAGTATGTATATATAAAGCAAGTAAGATGATAAAGTATGTATATATAAAGCAAGTAGGGTGATGAAGTAAGTAGATACCTTTACTGGGAAACTTGTTAAAGAAACCGAAAACAATGCGTTCATAATGCCAATGCGGCTACAACGCTTCACGTTACACGAACTGGCGCAAAGGAACAAGAATACACATGCACCGTAAGTGAGGAACCTTCGCATACGGCCGACAGTATCGGCAGGTTACGCCTAACGTACGGCATTCGGTCGTGAACCCTGCGTGATAACTTACGGTACCCGTACGGACGGACCCCATCGCTTTACCCCCCAACAGTAGCAGCAATCGCTCCCATGCAAGCAGACCTGTAGATAGATAGACAAGGAGATAGATCTCGGCAGGCAGAACTGTAGATAGATAGACAAGGAGATAGATCTCGGCAGGCAGAACTGTAGATAGATAGACAAGGAGATAGATCTCGGCAGGCAGAACTGTAGATAGATAGACAAGGAGAGAGATCTCGGCAGGCGGACCTGTAGATAGATAGACAAGGAGATAGATCTCGGCAGGCACACCTGTAGATAGATAGACAAGGAAAGAGATCTCAGCAGGCAGACCTGTAGATAGACAGACAATGAGATAGATCTCGGCAGGCAGAACTGTAGATAGATAGACAAGGAGAGAGATCTCGGCAGGCAGAACTGTAGATAGATAGACAAGGAGATAGATCTCATGCAGGCAGAACTGTAGATAGATAGACAAGGAGATAGATCTCAGCAGGCAGACCTGTAGATAGATAGACAAGGAGATAGATCTCATGCAGGCAGAACTGTAGATAGATAGACAAGGAGATAGATCT